AAATAACTGACCTCGACCAACATGTTTGACCTGGCTGAACCTTGACCTTCTCATCTGTACATTGAGAACAAGGCCACCATGTCCAGCAGCAGCAGATGAGTCCATTGCATAATGTAAACAGCACAAATAACAAGCAATAACTTGAAATGCTTTGACGGTGCACAGTGAATGAACCACACCATTATACAGCGAGTGGTATTGGTCTACCAGCGGTTCTCAACCTTCCCAATGCTGCGACCCTTTAAAATAGTTCCTCGTGTTGTGGTGCCCCCCAACCATAAGATTATTTCATTGCTACTACATAACTGTAATTATTTACTGTTATTAATCATAATGTAAATATCTGATATGCAGGATATCTGATATGGGACCCCACAGAGGGGTTGCAACCTACAGGTTGAGAAACACTGGTCTAGACCTTTATCACACAAAGGTCTCCCTAGGCACAAACACCTTGTCCAGCTCAACAGAGCAGTTCTGGTCCAATTACAATATGTGTTTCCAATAGGCTTCACAAGGCTGGGGAAGCCTGGCTAGAGCTAATGTGAGGGACAATAAGACTTCTGTCCCGATGCCAGTGCAAGCCCTTTGGCTGGGGCCTCCATGTGTGCTGTGGGGACAGGACTAGGGTCTGTGGACCTTGGTCCGAGGCCTAAGGGGCCAAAAATTGTCTCAGGGGCAGGAGTGGAGCGACAATGGAGAGCTCTGGGAAGCTGAGAAGAGCCCATAGGAGGAAGGACTCAGTACGAGGAGATGGGTTCCTGATCTTTCAGAAGAGCCGTGGCTTCCCCTTAGCATGTCTCCGACTTGTGTAGGCTGAGCCTGAGACTCTACCTATTCCATCCTAGAGAAAGGATTATTGTTGTCCCACCATTGTCTTTCTTGAAGTATCTCTTCATAAGAGATCCATGGGAGGTCCGGGGGAAATGGCTATGGCATCCATCTAGGTTTACCTTGTGGAGGATCTGGGCTTACCTACTTCCTTGGCCAAGTCCCTCATCTGTTCAGCATGTAGGATTAAAGCAGCCCAGACCCCCTCAAGCCCTGACACTTGGGGCTTTCTGCTTACTGCCTTGGGAGATACCCTCTAACCATTTGCTTTGCCTCCCTGGGTTCCCACCTGCCTTCCTATTGGGCATTCAAGGTAATCAGGAGTAAGATATGCACTGAAGTGGCACACAGCTGCAAGGTTATTGCCTGCTCTGAAAAAAATGAAAAAAAAAAACCATTTAAGATAAAAAAGATACGGAACTGGAGAGACAGTTCAGTAGTTAAGAGTACTGGCTGCTCTTCAGGGGACCTGGGTTCGATTCCCAGCACCCACATGGCAGCTCACAACTGTAACTCCTCTTTCAGGGGACCTGACAGCCTCACACAAACATACATGCAGGCAAAGCACCAATGCACATATAAAACAATCTTTTTTTTTTTTTTTAAGCTAGGGTTTCTCTGTGTAGCTTTGGAGTCTTTCCTGGACCTCACTCTGTAGACCAGGCTGGCCTCAAACTCATAGAGATCCGCCTGCCTCTGCCTGCCGAGTGCTGGGATTAAAGACGTGCGCCACCACCGCCCAGCAAAACCATCATTTTTTTTTTTTTAAAAAGATTAAAAAGACACCTTGTTCCTTTCTAATCCCTCGCTTGTTAAGGAAAAGAAGTATCTTGTGAGCCATAATTTCCTAGCTGAGCAATGCCAGTTACATGGTGTAGAGTGACTGACTAATTGGAGGCACCATGGGGAAATAGGACTCTGGGTCTCTGAGGGAATTTCCTAAAATCCCAAAATTCTAAGTGGGAACTAGTTGTCATTTGAAGGGTCAATGACACTTGTTTCTGGAAAAGTTACTCTTTCAGACGTCCATATTCAGCAATAAACTTTGTGTGGAACAAGGGCAGGACAGCTTGCTTAGACATAAGGTTTGTTAATAACCAAGGCCAGATCTCCAGTTACGCTTTTCAAAGAAAGGACTTTTACTTTTAGGTCCATCATCTAATCAATAAATGTGTTAAAATTTATTTTATGGAATTTGTTTTATGATTAATAGTGCCTTTGAATTTCCCATTGTGCTAACTGTTTTCATATAATAATATCTTATGTATTTCTCATAATAAGCTTTCTGTACAAAGGCCTTATTCATCCCAGATAACAGATAAGAAAACTGAATCCACGGCACAATTAACTAACTTGCCCAAGCTCAACTAGTTGGTAAATATAGAGTTCAAATTCAACTCTGGTGGTCATACCTGAAAATGTCTGTGAGGAAGTTTGCAGAATGGGTGAGAGAAGACCCACCCTAAATCTGGGTAGCACAATCCATGGACTGGAGTCTTGATTGTATAAAAAGGAGAAAGCAAATTGAATGCTAGCTTCCACTGCTTTCTGAGTCCTGATTCTGAATGCACAGTTGCCTCACATTCCTGGTCCCTGCCATGATGAGCTGTACTCTAAAACTGTAAATGCCAAAATAAACACACTCTACTTAAGTTGCTTTCATTATATATTTTGTCAAAGCCATGAAAAAAATAACTAACTCAGAAAATTGGTAATGATGAGTAGGGCCATGACTATTGTTAACCTGACCTTGTGGTTCTTACGTCTTTGGGACTGGTTTGCTAGAGGAATGTAGAAGAATTTGGAACTCTTGGCTAAAAAAGTCCTAGTTTGCTCCAGGCACAGCTTAATGGAACATTTTGGTGGGAGTTTGGAACACCAGCCTGTCGAGAGAAATGTGGATAGTGGAGACCTAGTTCTTGAGGTTTCAGAGAGGAACAGAGACTCTTGGGGGAAGCAGCTAGTAACCGGTTATTTAGTTGTGTCTCGATGAGTCTGGTTGCATTTTCCTAGTATTCTGAAAACCTGAATAAGGCCAAGTTCAAAAGCAATGGACTAATTTGTTTGGTGGAGGAAAAGTTCACAACAATATAGCGTTCAAGTTTTCGAATGATTACAGTTCACTATTCTTAACCAGGTCAACAGAGAGACAGAGACAGACAGACAGACAGACACACACACACACACACACACACACACAGAGACAGAGAGACAAAGGGAGAGATAGAGACAGAGAGACAAAGAGAGACTACAGAGAGACAGAGACAGACCAACAATGAGAAAGACAGAGAGAGAACAGCAGGAACAGAAGGATTTAAAGAATGTGCACTTCGATGGGTAAAAGAACAAGTTTAAAGTTGCAGAAAAGGAAGTTGTGAATTCAGATGTATTAAAGAGTTTATTTCCACTAAAGAGAAACCTGTAACTTTCCACTGGGTCAATAGGAAAGATTCCCCGAGGGAAAGACCCAATCAAAAACTGCTTTTTTATTAAAAAAAAAAATGTCAATTCATTTGAAAAGAGTCTGGATGTTAGATGCTGTTGGGAGAGTTCAGGGCTTGGAAATAACAATCCAGGATAAAAAAGGTCACCACAGCTTTTAAGGGGCCATCTTAAGCTGACAGCAGGACTGGGTAGTGTCATCCATGTGGTTTTTGAAAACATGAACTATGTAAGACTGAGGGAATCAATCTTTGGTTTGGCACCAAAGTTCCAGAGAGTTTCTGAGGCCAGGCAATGAATGGCAGTGTCAGAGACGCTGTAGAAAGTCCCTGAGAAGACATTGTATGAAGCTTTGGTGAAGTCTAAGCTGCAATGGAGACCTCAAGATACCAAAAATATCAGGACGAAGGAAATCTGCTCAGAAACTTTCCTGGAAGGAGAAGAGCCAAACCAGACCAAGTCTGAGGCCGTATATGCTTTAGGCAGTACAGCTGGAGAGGTAGTGCTCTCTAAGCCCTTTGGAGCCCAGATGATTCTATCGTAAGCCCCAAATGTCAGACACAGAGCTGCAGGATTTGATGTTTTCCTTATTGGGTTTGGAGCTTTGGTCCAATCTTTCTTCATGATGCCAAGTTTTTACTCTTTTAGGATAGTAATGTTTATTCTCTGCCATTTTATGTTGGAAATAAGTGATTTACCTTTGATATTATAGGGCCACAGAGTTAAGAGACTGCTGGAGTCTTAGAAGAGACTCTACATTTGTATTTTTAACAGTGTTGGAACTTTAAATTTTTTGGGAACTTTTGTAGTTGGGTTGAATGCATTTTGCACTGAAATGGCCATGGACCTTTCAAACTGGGAGGTTATGGCTTCAAGGTGATGTGTTTGGGCGTCAGGTTGACAAGGAGTAGACTTGTGATGGCTTATATTGTCAACTTAACAGGATCTAGACTCTGCTAGAAGATGTCCCAGTGTGTCTGTGAAAGAGTTTGGTGTACATGAATCTTAAAAGTTCTTATTAATAGAATCAAACCCGGGGCCAATTATTGGGGTGAAATGCTGGATGGTCAGAGAGAGAGAATAAGCCACAGCTACCTCACCTCTCCGGATCCTCAGCTGGTCCTGTTTCCTCAGACTGGAAGCCTCTGAGTCCTCATCCAGAATGGGTCTCAGCTGAACTGCTGCTAGAAGCCTGAAAGCTTAACCAGCCAAATGCTTAACCAGCCAAATGCTGCTAGTTCCTGGTCCTCACACCTTATATAGCTTTCTGCTTTCTGCCATCACTCCCTGGGATTAAAAGCTTGCTTTCTGGGATTAAAGGCGTGTGTCACCATGCTTGGCTGTATCCTTGAACACATGGATTTCTGCCTCTGGAATGCTAGGATTAAAGGCGTGTGCTACCACTGCCTATCCTCTATGTTTAATATTGTGGCTGCTTTGTCTCTGACCCGAGATAAGTTTATTAGCATGCACAATATTTGGGGAAATACAATACCACAGTTTGGAAATTGGGTTAATTGAGCTGGTAAGAGCCACCTTAAATGTGGGCAGCATCTGGTGAGGGCCAGACTGCATAAAAAGGAGAGCAAGCTGGGAACCAGTGTTCATGATTCCCTGCTTCCTAACTGTATGCAATGTGACCATCTGCCTCAAGCTCCTGCTACCATGCTGCTATGATGGACTGTAGGCCCTCAGGCTATAAGTCAAAATCAACCCCCAACTGCTCGTGAGATGTTTGTTCTTTAGTTTGGTGACAGCAATGAGAAAATACAGAAATACAGGAGGGGAAATCCATTCTACCCTACTAGATCTCATGTGAGTGGCTCTATGCTTTCCCCGTAACACCTGTGGTTGGAGAATCACGTAACAAGGTAGGAGAACTTACTGTTTTCTACAGGATCCATGTTAGAAAAGCCTTTTCTTTCCCATGGTCTGAGGTAAGAGAGTCTGTCTTTCTCCATAAGTATGAAGGTATGAATATCTCCTTTTCTAATCCAGCTCAGCTCACTGATGTAGTTACAGGTCATTAGATCTCTGTGGCAGATGTGGCGGATGGGTCATGCTCCGTGATTTGTCACTATTTCCTTCAGTAGTCATCGGATGTGTTAGTTTCATCCTCATGGACATCAATGATGTCATCACCCCCCTGTCACAATACTGTTGCTGGCTCGACTTCTTTGCAACAGAGCCAACTTGGCTCCTTTCCCCATGGACATCCAGTGCTTGGGCGCAGAATCTGGGCATCAGGTTTCCTGCTGGTGGAGTCCATCCTGTGTTCTCTCCTTATATACAATGTGCTAATGCTAAGAATGCTCTCACAGAGGCAGCATCTTGGAGAAGAGGCTTGGTGTAGAATCATTAAGAATAATGGTATATAAGAATCATTGCTGTCCCTGCCTCCAGTTATGGCAAGAGCTCACCATTATCCACCAAACTTTGGTGCTTCTCTTAGAGTGGACAGTGGGGTCACAAATTGGCTGCTTCTGTGGTCACATGACCAGCAGAAGGAAAGCAAGTGCTAATGGGAGCACATGGTCTTCCATGTTTGTTCTCTTCCTCTTCTGTGACAGTCAATGTGTTCCCACCAAGAAGTCCCTCCAAAGAACCACTGTTGTCCACAAGTAAAGCCTGCCAGAAGTAAGAAATAAATCTATAGTTCTTATCCGTGAAGAGCTTGGAGCTATTTCTTAGTAAGCATAACCTAGCCCATCCTGGCAGAGGCAGAATAGCCTTAGGTAGCTCCCTTTCTGTGATCCATGAACTTTAGGGTACAAGCATTTATTTCCTCCATTTATGTCCACTAGAATGCTTGGGCAGGAGCATCAACTGTGCACACCATCTCTGCATTACAGGGAGGCTGAAGCTCAAGCTACCCCAACCTTCCCTGTGGAGTTATATGAAGAGTGGCCTCCTGAAATTCAGCACTGGTTTGCAGGACAGCAAGCAAGGCTTTCCAATGAAGAAAGTCCCTCAACATTGATTTCTAAAGAAATAATGTTATTTCCCTTGATTGGCTATGGAAATCTTGTCAGAGATTATTTTTTTCAAGATCTCTGCTGCACAGATCCCTTAGATATTCCAAGAGTTTCTCTTTTAGATTGTCAATGAAATTAAGTCTACTTTTAATCATAGCTAACTGATATTTAAAAACTTAAGAGTGATAACTTTCAGACCAATAAGGAAATCCTATGTCTTGGAAGGGTCAGACACCTCCTTGGATTCAGAGAGTTGGGAAAGAGCCCTAGGAGTTAAATCCTTGGTTTAGTCTGTAGGAACGTGGGATTCTAGGTGTGCACTTATGAAGGAGGTAGACCTCAGTGAGCACATAAACTCTCCATCCTGCCCACAGTGCTAGCTCAGGGCATGAGGTGAGTCTCTGACCATTTATATAGACCTCTGCCTCTCTCGTCTTCTGTCTTATTTTTTTTTTTCTCACAACTAAGTGTGTGGCAAAGAACTAAGGCCCACACTTACTTGTATGTAGGTTCTATCTACTGTAGATGCTTCCTTCTAATATCAAATTATCAAACCAAATTAGATAAATGCCTTCTTGACCTTTGCTTTCTGTCTTCATCCCCCACTGACTGCCCTCAACCTCCTGACTGGCTTTCAGGTCTCCATTGTGTCCATCCTCTGTCTACCATCCTGAGGATAAAATAAAAACTCCTCAATATACAGGGGAGGCAAGAACCTCCATGTCCTCCAGCCTGTATCTGTTATGGGTGTTCCAGAGGCTGGCACATACCATGGCTTTATGGTCCATCTTCTTGGAGGCAAGATGCCTTATATGCTTGGATTCAACCTTGAACCTACAAGAAAGAACTTCCAGGCTGGTTCTTACATGAAAAATGCAAGCCAGAGTACTTTCTCTTCAGGTGCCATCCTTTCCTTTGAAGAGACTACATGGCCTCTTTTCTCTTCCTAGCTGGCACAGCCACCATCTTGATTTCCAGACAACAGCAGATAGGGCTGTCTTCGGTAAAACTCTTTGTGGAAGGGAGCAGTTTCTTCCAGTCCTTGACTCCTGTGCAGGCAGGGTATCCCATCTGGCCACCTTCAACCTCTCACCCTGGCCATGAACTTCCTGGCATGCTCTGTGTTCTTCAGAACACTAGCTAGCCATAGTGTCTATAGATGAAAGTGATAACCCAGCAGTCAGCCCTGCCAGATGTCCTCCTGGGCATGGCTGTGGGAGTTCATAGAGTGGATCCAGAATTTCTTTGTTTTGTTTGCTCTGATATTCCTGCAGGCAAAGATAAGCACTGGGTCAGTACTCAGCTCAAGTCATTTCTAGAGCCATCGCTAAAGCCCTACACTCCCTTAACCTTGTGATTAACTAACAACTTACATGAGTAGTTAACATCTGTCCCTTCTTTGAGCATGCTTGACACAGAAAGATGAGCCATGAGATGGGTGGAGCTTCAGCTCTCTCCCTTTCATTCTTCCCTCCCTCCTTGCTTTCTTACCTAATGGGACTGGAATGTGATGACCAGGCAACCGATTTGAGCTAATTGAGGTACTGGCAGCAAAAGCCCAGATTCTAAGACCCACACCAGGGCTGTCTGAGGTTGCCGGGAGTCAGAAGAGACCCAGAGGAAAAGACTTTCCAGATGATGAGTGGATGCCCTCCCTCCACAACCTTACACTGCTCATTGTCTACTTTCCCCAGAATCTTAACTCCACTTGACACCCTACTGTGTGTCATGCTGGATTGGAGCCCAGACCCTCACTTCAGCCTGACCAAGGATGAAAATAGGACTTTACTTTAAATCTCAAAGGCCAGAGTCTCTGAGAGAGGCCAGGTTTGCACTGGAGACTTGCCCAACACCATGGCTGGAGAGCACACTGGTGAGCAAGTATTCTGGGTGTCATGGAACCTCAGGAGCTGAGACCTGATCTGAGTCGCTGGTTAGGAGAGAGGGGCCAGGTGGCTGAGAAGTAATGGCTCAGACATACTTCCACTCCTACAAAGTGCTCCTTTTTAACACACGATAGGAAAATTGGCTGTCTTTAGTCTTTATGCTACATGAGAAATTAAGCAACAGAGGCATTAAAAAAGAAGGTCATATATGTATTGTGAACACGTGCACACGGATAGGATTTTTGTACACAGGCATGATGCCTATATATGGTGTGCACATAGGTATGTGCTGTGTCTCAGGTATGCTTGCTCATCCAGTGGCAGCTCCTGAGTCATTCCTGGGCACCAAACACTGTGGCAGAAGCCAAGAACATAGGTACACAACACTGACACTGCTCTGGATCTCCTGAGTTTGTGTGCTAGGAAAATGTATTCAGGCATCTTTTGGAGCAAAGAATACAGATTATGAGAAAAAATAACCATATTAGATACTCAAATATTTTTGCTTACAAATAACTTATTGTTTGAGACAGGATCTCACTATAACATCCAGTCTGGCCTTGAACTCACTATATAGCTCAGGTTAGCCCTGAATTTACGATTCTCTTTGCCTCAGCCTCTCTGGTGCTGGGATTACACCTACCGTCACACTAGACTGAATGGATACTTTAACTTTTGAAATATTAATGGAAAACCTTGTGCCTTATTACTTCTGGGAGTGTACAGAATTGAACTCAGGGCTTTGCACATGCTAGGCAATTCTTAGACCGTTGGGTCACAGCCCAACCATAAACTCTTAGATCTGAGTCTTAGTTTTAGTTGAGAAGAGTGGGACTGTGCCTTCCTCTGTGATATGTGGACTGGGAGCTTTCATGCTGGGGTTGCCTAGAATGGCTCCACTTTATAAAGCAACAACCTTGACATGAGTTACTCCACTGTGAGACACACGTGACGAGAAAAGGTGACTTTACGTCTTGTTTACACACCAGGAGGCACAAACGGATAAGGAATGCCATCAAGGAATGACACTTGAAAATACATCAAATCATAGTCAGAAACAGGGACACACAAGGGACTCTATCACACCAGATGGGAAACCCGCACCTGGGGCAGTGAGAACCTCAAGACCAAAATGCGGCACGTGGCGACCATTCTCGCTCATCACCTCATCAACACAGTAAAGGCCTCCTGCTTCTGTCCCCAGGTCCAGCAGCTTCTCCTGCCCACGTCCCTCAGCCTGCTCCAGAGGGATTCTGAGAGGCCTGCCTCCTGGACCTGCATCTGACATCTCAAATGTGTGTGCTCACATAGTTCTGTTCTCGAGGTTCATAACACTTCTTTTTAAAACAATAATTTGTTTTATTTTTTGAGATTATAATTATATCATCTCCCCTTTCCTTTCCTCTCTCTAAATCCTCCCATATACCTTTCCTTGCTCTTTTTTGAAATCATGGCCTCTTTTTTCATTAATGGTTGTTACATTATATATATGTATACACACACATATATATTCCTAAATAATACACAAATCTAACCCACTCAATCTGCATAAAGTTACTTCTATGTATACTTGGGAGATGACCATTTGGTATTGGATAACCAACTTGTGTGCTAGTCCCCGGGGAAAGACTCTGAGCATTCTTTAGTTTCCTGTAGTTCTTTGTGTAGGGTTGAATCCTCCTGGGCTACCCATCTTCCAAATTAGCATGTCTGCTGTTGTTGTCCTTGTTCAGCTCATGTCTAAACAATTGCATTGGTGAGACTTTGTGGGTGTAGCTTCTGACATTCCTGGGAGACTCAATCTCACAGCAGACTCTCTGGTCCTCTGGCTCCTGCAATCTTTCTACCCCCTCTTCAGCAGTGATCTCCGAGCCTTGGGTGCAGGAGTTGTATTGTACATCTGTCTATTGGGACTGAGCTCTACAACTCTGCATTTTGATTGGTGCTGGTTTTCTGTAATAGTCTCCCTCTGTTGCAAAGAGAAATTTACTTGAAGTGTGAGGACTACACTTACTTGTGGGTAAAAAGACAGATATTTAGAATGATGCCGGGGATAATGCAGGTTTTCTTCCGTGAGCCATGACTTCACTTGCCCTGGGCAGTAAAGTTGGCTAGGTGTCTAGTACCTGGCTTGATTTCCTTCTTGTTGAGTGGGTCTTAAGTCCAATTAGAGAGCTGTTGGTTCCCGCTAAGGTGTGCATGCCACTAATACTCTGAGATCAAAATGGGAAAAATATACATACCTGCAGGTTAAAAGTTCTGTTGGCAGCTAAGAATAAGTTCCTATTTGTCCATTGTTTGACCCATCTGCACAGGATGTGCTTGGTCACATGTGGGCAGGAGGTATGTGGGCAGGAAGTACGTCAGGATATATGCCTGCCCCTGAGTGGCCTTGTGGGGATGCCTTTTTAAGCCTCTGCAAGGCGTGACTCATGGCCGTTTTCTGGGAACCCAGAGATGGACCTGGCCAGATATCCAGCCTCCTGGCCAGTATTAAATTAAAGCCTGCTTCAAATTTGGCTTAAGATTATGGCAGTGGTCTTATTCTCGACTGGTAGAATTAACACGGTACCCTTAGAGTTAGTGTGCCATGCTGGCCATGTTGCGGTTCATAGACATTTAGTTGGGTAGGACTGTTGTTGTGTCCCTTATTTGGAAATTTGCATGGCACCTTCTGGTACCATGAAAGCTGATCCTCAGGGAGGAGGCTTTCAGGTTAGTTCCATCTCAGGGGCCTTTGGGCCCTGTGTCTGAAGTGCACAGTGTGTTCAGCAATGGGGCTTCACCCTCCACCTTCAGGGGGCGGCCGATGGCAAGGGCAATAGCCTATGATGTTTTTGGAGTCTCTTGGAAAATCTTGACCAATAACTCAAAAGAAGGTTTCTCATGCCTGGTAGTGTTAGATAGGTTTTTGTTTGTTTGTTTGTTTGTTTTTTTCAGGTGGTCTTTGGCTTCTGGAGCGAACACTGTCAGCACAGATGGGAAAATTTTCATTAACTATACACATGTTTGTTTATATGCTAGCTTATGTGTGTTATAGGTATTTGGGTGGATGGTTAAGAGTATAAGTCCTTATGACTTTTGCAGACGTTCTTGCTTTTATTTTACCCCCCTCCCCGAGTGCCTTTCTCCTCTCTCTCTCTCTCTCTCTCTCTCTCTCTCTCTCTCTCTCTCTCTTTCTCTCTCTCTCTCCTTCCTAGAGCGCCTTCACACCATGTCTTATCTGACCCTAGGCAGAATTTCCCTTGCTCCTTTGTCAGCTTTCTGCCTCTCTGAATTATACAGCCTCATTAACCCCTTCTTGGTCGTCTTGTAACATACGTATTTGTATATTATTCTGTGAAGTGTGATGTGCGAGCTGAAAGTTAACATTAGCAATTTCAATTAGAGTAAAAGAGCCCTGTTCACCAGCAACCAGCTATGAAAGGAAATCATGACTACTTGGCAGGTTGCAGCCAGTGAAACTGACCTGGCTTGCGCATTTATTGTTATTCAATATTGGGATACTGTGAAAAGACACAGAGTGTCTATCTATGTTTTTGACATAATGAACTCATGATTCTCCCTCAGGGGTGAAAGCAATCGCCAGGGGATAAAGGTGTGTGGGAATGGTTCTTTCTGAGCCAAGCTTTTCCTTTGGGGATTTGTGGGTAGCTACTTCCTTTGGGCTGGGCATGACCTTTACCTTCTAGAATCAGAGCTGTGATCACCCTCATGATATGGTCATGAGATCTAGCCTATTATTATATACTCCCTTGTACAGGAAGGGGGGCTCTCTGGAGGTTCTGGGGATCCTCCCAAGGCTCGTCCTTCCCCAAGGCTATCCAGGCAGCAAATCACTAACTGGATGGCGATGCTGTCCCTAAGTTGCCCAGGGGACTTCCCCACAGTGTAGCTGCCTTTGAGTCATCCCTGCTTCTGAACTAATTCCAGTAAGCACATTGTCCACAAATTGGTGGAATTATTTCTTTGATCTGCCAGTCACCCCACCCCAATGAATGGATGTTTCTTTATATTGATCACCTCAGGAAAAGTCATTGGGAGAGAGGCTGCTCCCTGATCTGAGTTGAGGTAGGGAGGGGGTCATTGATGCAAAATGCTCCAACACTGCAAAGGGAATAAGAAATAGTTTATTTTGAGACAAATATGAATGACTACGGCTTGAAAACACTAACTCAAGTTGCCCCACATGGCATGTTCTACCATGGAAGAAGTTATGCGTGTTTCTATTAGTCACAGAATAGGAAGTCATATATTTATTCACCTTCTAAAACATAGGTAGGTCACTAAGAAACCTCTGCCATAGTTGCAGATGCTGTCTGGTTACATTCTTAGCTCTGTGTTATTGATGTAACCAACCGTCTTATTAA